TAAGAGATTTCCTTGCTTGATCTGTCGGGTGGTACTACTGAGTACCTTCCCCCTCGGTAATTCAACGCTATTGTCAATCAAAAAAATTACCTATTGTACATATGTTTGTATAGATTGTAATTATTCTTTTAATAAAATAAAAAAATAATAAAAAAAAAAAAAATGCTTATAAAAAAAAATTGTGACTATGTACTTTAAATATTTTCAAATGTGATTGTAACAATATATTAAGAACCTTGCATTAAATTTTCAAGCTCTCAAAAAAAATAATGTATATTATTTAATCAGGTGAAAACCATAACCGAACTAAAATCCTGCGTAGGTAAGCTACTGCAGATGAAAATTATCTGAAATGATGCTCTAAAAAAATTAAGAGAAACTAGCAAAGAAACTCCATCCCCTATGGCCCTATTCCTCTGAGCTTTCTGCCACTAATGAACACTAATAATAATAAAAAAAATGGAAAACCGAAAATATAAAATAATATTCAAACCATAGGGTGCTGGGTGGACACATGGCAGACGGGCGACACAAGTCATAATAGACTTGTAAATTTGTAATGGTATTAATATTTATTTTTATATGATAATTTAAATATATATATATATATATATATATAATAAGCTGGGAAATGATCATTGTTAATAAATAATTAATAGTTAGTGCGAATAATGAATCAGAAAAAATGGATCTCACTCGAGTCATGCCTATTGTCGTGATGATTTCACGTATATTTCCGCATCAATTCGTGAAAAAAAAAAATACTATACATTATATATTAATGCTATAATAATATAATAATATATCGTATTAAATACCTGCGTATAGGTAATTAGTAACTTTGACACGAACAATAGTACAGATTGATTGGCACGATGAAACAATACCTACGTATGAAACAAATGAATAAATTATAATATAATTAGTACACAATACAATATACATAGTATTACCTACATTGGCATATCGCATATTACTGTAACGGAATTTTGTGTCGTTTTCCATTGTCCAGCAAATAGAAAAAGATTTTAATAAATCGGGACAATCGAAGGCATTGAAACGGAATTTGCAAGTTTTATATTCAAAAGAAAATCATAAATAATAATTTTACACGTAAAATTCAAAAAACAAAATAACAAGACACCTAACTTGACTTAATGTCTATTGATCGATATACTCAATCTAGACTTATATAATATACAGACGATGAATCACAAAAAAAAATGTGACAAGTAATTTCAAAAATATATAGGTACGTCACCCATGTCCCAAAAATGAAAGTGGAACTGAACATCAACATTTTTAAGTGCTGCATAGAGCATTTAAATGAACTCAAATTTTTAAGTTCCAGTATCAATTACTGAATCACAACTAAAAAGTAGGTACATATTGTCTTAACCTAACCTATCCTAGTACCTACCAACATTCACCTTAATAATACGCCTTTATTGTGTATTTGGTGCCTTCATTTATATCTATTAAATATTAACTATAGACATTATAGTGTGATCATATTTTGTTCTAAATTTCATTCAACTTTAAACTTCAGAAATCCTTTAATGGTTCTTCAAACAGTATTTCCATTGGATTTTCTAAAACATAAAAACTTGGAATTATGTACCAGTACCTATTCTTATTTATAAATAAACAATATATCATATTGTATATTGTATAACATAGAATTAAAATAAGTCCACTAGCAACAAGTTAGGTAGATTCCGACCATTAAGCAATCAATATAGGTAGTTAAAAATAAGAGCTTGCCTAAAGTTAAAATCATTGGTAATTTTCTCAAAAACCTAACAAGACATTTTAAAAAACTTTTCCTATGTTTGTTAAATTTAAACTCAATAAATCTGCGTTCTTAATAATAGGCTTTTTACAGCCGAGAAGTGTTTACAAAACAAAAAACTGTATGGATGGTATTAAATTTGAATTCAATGATATAATATCATTGTATAAGAAAAACGATTTTAAGCGGAGACAGTATGTCAGTCTAGGTATAAGACATATTATATAGGTACTTACCTACCTATGGTATTAAAAAAAAATTGACCTATAATAACTTCCAAATTAATCATATCACAATATCCATTAAGTGCTTATAACGCGTATACATCAGTAACAAACCGTGATACTATCCTAGATATATAGTAATTAGTAGTATACAGTATACTTTAGAAGTTTCAAGTATCCACGAATAATATTATACAATCACAACATTCACAACAAAATAACTAAAAAAGTTATTCTGTTTATTAATTCCCTTCGCCGCCTTAAAAGACGCTTTTGTCGTGATCTTTTATGATAAAAAAAAAATCAATAAATTATGTTTAATTTAAATCTGAAGGGTTCTATCATTGGATGGCCTCCCTTATCCTGTCATTCTGTTATTATATTATATTGTTTTGTTGTACATATTATCACATTAGTTGCTTATTGTGTTTTATTAATACAGATTGTAAATTTTCTAAAATAAAAAAAAAAAGGTTTTTTAATATTATGTAATTTCGTCCAAATTCGAACTTAAAATGGCTATAAAAATAAATTGTGTTTATGTATTTTTTAGATTTTTTGGTAACAGAATTAACTACTTACATGGAATCTTGTTTTAAATTTTCAATCCTTAGATATAAAAGTTGAACATTTTATAAATTTTTAACTACAAAATAATTATTCAATTTTAAATTTTATAAATGTTGTCAAAATTCGATCTTTAAATGCTTATAAAAAAAATTTTTAATATTTTTCAACTGCTATTGTAACAATATATCAGGAGCCTTGTGTTAAATTTTTACAGTTTTTGGCCCAACAGATAAAACTTTATTGATATTCATAGAATAAAAAAAAAAAAATTGAAATATGAAATTGTCTGTAAACAGCGCAAAACAAGTCAAAATATTTTGAAAATGTATAACAATTTTAAGAATTGATAAAATAAACATTCAGTGAAATTTTCATGTATCTACAGTTATTCGTTTTTGAATTACAACAAAATAAGAAAATCGCTACATGAGAAATCGAGTGAATATCCAATGTTGTAAAAATTTGAATTTCAAAAGCTCATAAAAATTTAATTTGACTTTCTCATAGACGTTTTTACGCAAGGAAGTTAGGAAGTTAGGAAGTTTACGCAAAAACCTAAGATTTTAAAATTTAATATAAGATTATCTACCCTTATCAAATAGGTTTTTGCGTAAACTTCCTGTTTTAATTAATTTTTCTTTTTTTTATCTAATTATTTTGTATTTGGTAAGATTATTACCACAGAATATAAACAAAATATTTACGTAATTTTTATTTTTAGTTTAATAGTAATAGTACTTAGTATATTATATTTATTTTCTAAGTATAAATGAAAAATGTTATAAATCTAATAATATATTATTTAAGTATTAAAATGTTGTGGGACCATGTAGAAATGACCACTTAGAATGATTAAATTTTCCTGCAAAAAGTGCTCAGAACATACATTACAATTTTTGAGATTATGTGTTACACGGTGGAGCATGTAAAAATGGCCGCTTAAATTGAAGAAATCTCCCTGTAAAAAAGGTGCTCAAAACATACAAATATATACTACTGATAGTTGTAGGTAGTATGAAAATAAGCAATACTGCAGGGGCCTGAATGTTCTGGTGACACCGGCAATTCTCCCGAAAATGGTGGATTTTGATTTCAACTATACTATCATTAAAATATGCCTAATTATGAAATCTAATTAATATTTGATTTTGTCGCAACTCCCAATATTTTGTTATAAGAATTAAGAAAATAATCAAAATATTTAAATTCTTGAACCAAGATACTATGAACTACGATAGTTCATGATTCTAATTTATAATCAAAAAATTTACATCTAAAAACTATATGGTTTATGGTTATGATAACTCTATGGACCATGGCATAAGCGGCATACCCCGTGCGCACGCCTATGTATAGTAGGTAATAGTAATAGGTAGGTATATGAAGTAACCATAATCATATAAATAATTATAACATTCAAAATCATTTAATTTAAACTAAAAACTGTACATACATACTAAAAAACTAATAAAATGAAAGGATAATAATAAAAGTAAAAGAAGATTGGCAAAATGTATACTATATTATATTATTTAATATCAAAGAAATATAAAAATTACAAAAATTTGTGAAAATACTAAATTTACAAATGACAATATAATAATTAATAATATAATATAATATACAATATAATAATAAATAAACTATCATATTATATTATAATATGATAATTTATTTAACTCATTGAGTGATGTTTTAAATAAATCATTAATACAGATAGAATTGCCAACCAACATTAGTTTCACAGGAGAGTGCGTATTGTGATATCTATTTTCCACCAATATAGCGGTAATAAATAAAAAAAAAATAAAGTCAAGTGGCAATTCATTTTATATAATATCTACTATAAATTTGAAAAATATTATTGTCGGATCAACTGAGGGGTGTTCTACAATAAGTTAAAACGAGTATGGTAAAACGAGAAATATTGTATATCAGAATGCCCTTCTGTAGTTGGCAAGCGTGAACCTGGGCACAAATGATGGGTAATCCCATTTTGATTATGTTAATTAACGTTTTGAGATTAATATAAACTGTAAAATACATATGGAGTAGGTATTTTTAATGGGCGACGAGGTGCACGGGTTCAGCTAGTATATATATATAAATAGTCGCTGCAGTTTTTTAAAAAAAAAACTATTCCAGGCACAAAAATTAGTCCCACTCTATACCATCTGGAAAAAACATTGTCTGACTTAGGTATCATTTCATTAGTGTATTGAATTGAAGACTAGCTGTTGTATTCAGTATCTAATTAAAAAAGTAAGGTACCAATGTTCTTACTCTGGGATACACATAATACATTTATTTTTCATTTTTCAATATCATGTAAAAATGTTTAAATAACAAACAAAATGTATTTGGTTAAAAACTTTGTTTTTAATTTTTTTAAATAACAAATAAGAAAAAAATAACTATTCCCAAATGCGAATAGAAAAACGGAATACTGTATTACAAAGAGGACAACGCTTATAGAGTAGCTGGTTGACACATTCTTCACAAAGCACTTTGTGACCACAAGGCACAAGTGCATGTGTTCGTGTATTATCTCTACACACTACACAAACTGAATCATCATACAAACCAACTTCCGGATTGTTACGATCAACTTGGACATATGGAATATCCTCAGCCTCAGGTTGATTCCTAGCTAACATCACTGCCCACCACCTTGCTACAGCCACCTCTTCCGGAACAAAAAAGTCACGTTCATCCCCTAGTATAGAATTCAAAAGATATATCAGAATATCAAAAATATAGCCATTTAAATAATATATAAATGTTATTATTTGTCTTACAGTCATGTTCTTCTGGCTCACGGTTTTCATCTATAGCTCTGTTGGGAAGCTCTTGAAGTTGTAAATGTATTGATTCAAATATCAGATAATGAGATATAAAAAACACAACAAATAATTATTGAACATTGAATTAAAATATTAATAATTAAGAATAAAAATAAAATGTATGGGTGTTATATTTCCTTATTATTAACAGTAGACATATAATTAGAATAACTAGGTATATAATTTTATTATATTCTAAATTATTGTCTTTGGTGTAAGAGATTTTTTGTGTGTTCATTATAAGTAGAGGTCGGAATTCAATTTATATTCTCTTAATATTCTTATCAAATGCTAGGTATAATGTTTTAAAATACAGAATATTCTTTAAAAAAAAAATAGTAATTTACCTACATATTTAATTTATTAGTTACTTAGTTTGTACAGATAAAACTTTTTTATTTTCTATACCTCTATAAATATTAAATACCATATTATATAATTATTAATTATATATAATATGTAATTAGTGGAAATGATTTTAATATTCTGATGTACCTACATAAAAATAATAATCATAATATTATTATTTTCTTCATAAAAATATTTACAAACATTTCAATATTGAGTTATAATCTCAAATAATCTATAGAATAGGTATTGAATATGAATATAATATTATTATCTAACCCTTAAATTATGTATTTTTTTATGCAAAATACCTTTTTTTTCTATGTCTCATTAATTATAAAGATATCTTACTCATATCTAACTATACATAGTAAAAATGAATATGTAAAATCATAAAAATCCTAACGCTAATTATACAATATTGTAAGGTGACACAGGGCAGGGGTACCAATCAATATATTAGTATATTTTTAGTTTACCTATGTTTTCATCATTGGGTGGAACCTGCTCTACTGGCATTAATGGCAACGGCATAGGTAAGGCAATGTTCTCATCTTCAGAAGAGATATCCACTGCATTATTATCTATATAATAAAAATTTAAAATAATCAAATAAATTACTGGTAACTACAAATTCATAATGTCTTTAGTTTACCTATGTTTTCTTCATTGGGTGGAACCTGCTCTACTGGCATTAATGGCAACGGCATAGGTAAGGCAATGTTCTCATCTTCAGAAGAGATATCCACTGCATTATTATCTATATAATAAAAATTTAAAATAATCAAATAAATTACTGGTAACTACAAATTCATAATGTCTTTAGCTTACCTATGTTTTCTTCATTGGGTGGAACCTGCTCTACTGGCATTAATGGCAACGGCATAGGTGAGACAATGTTCTCAACTTCAGAAGAAGGTTCACCATCCACCATCACCATCATCCCATCATGGGAGCCCCCCATCTGAAAAAATCTTCATTTCCCAAGAAAAAGATCAAAAATGGTAAATAAATATAGTGAATAATTAATTTCATATACAATTTATTGAAATTATATTTATATTAATTTAATATCATAAAATATTTAAGAATATTTTGTTAAATACTTCTTTGTTAATTCAAAGTGAAAATTCTGTAACTAGTTAGCAGTTACCTACGTTAAATAAATAATACTAAATGTTTTGGTTAATTTGTGTAATATAAAAGTGATAAATATGTATTTAAACATACAAATACATATACAAATAGTACATATTATAAAAATGTAAATGGCAGCTTTCATTTGAAATATAAATTTTATAAAATAAAAGAATTGTTGTATTTTATGAATTCATATATTCTTTAAGAAAATTATACATATTTTATCGACAGTAGTCAGTAAGTAATTATTACCCTATTAATTATAGTGCATATTCATAATATTATATACCAATTACCAATAGATACAATATGACAATATGTGTTTAAGCAGCCTTTAAGGTTAAAATAGTTTTATTGAGTTTATGTACTTTTAATTTTAAATGTAGAATAAAATAAAACATTTTAGGGGGGGGGGGCCTAGGCCCCCAAATGTCTTTCTATCCCAGAAACTTATTGCAACCCTAAAAATTTAGCCCAATTTACGCCACTGGTACCTAGTGATCAAACTAGTAGAGGTATCAGACCTTTGAGGTGAGTCAGTTTCATTTGGTTTAGAATTATTATTTGTACTGATATGAGTGTATAATAATTTACAATAAGATAACTATAAATCTATATAAAAAGGTAGGTGTATAGACATAAAATTCTACGTACTCTTGGCTTGTACTTTCAGAATTTGGACGGATATTTGTACCTAGTTGTATACTAGGAACAACAGAGGGCTTTAGGTGACCATTTTCTTTAATATCTTCAGGTAAAAAGTGACGACCGCACACTTTGTAATGTACAAGATGTTTTGTAATTGAACAAATTTTCATCCATTTGCTTTTCAAAACTTTATTGCGTGGAAATCTATAATACATACATTGGATATTATATTAATTGGTCTCATACACAATACAGTATACACTCGATGATTTTTAAACGTTAAACCTTACCGATACAATTTAACGTTTGATGCCTTTGCATAAACTACACCACAATTTGGAACCACACATTTACAAACCATATTTACTTTTAAAAAAAAAAAACTGTATTCGTCGAAGGCTATTAAATGTGGTATCGGAGTCGGACTCGATAGACTTGGATACGAGTCAGACTTCTATACTACACTATGTAGAAATGTGTGGTCGGTACACTTAACTATCGCAGACAAGTTTATTATTTAGACTTATGATTTAAAAACAGTATAAACTAGTTTATAGCCTACAGGTCGACGGTTTACCCTGACGAAGCGAAGAACTCGATGCCGACGACGAAGGATTCGAAAGATTCGACTGTTTGAGATTAGAATGACGACGAAATTCAAAACATTGACATTGTTGTTTAAACACAAACGGCGAACACACTGCAGCGGTGGAGGTACAATTATTTTGTCTCGGCGGTGGAGGTAAAATCGTGTCCGGGCTCATTTTGCCGTGACCGCCACCATGTGTGGGAACCTTTACGCAGAGCTTAAAATTGTGTGCAGTAGCACACACTATGTGCAGTAGCTAATTTTAAAGTGTACAGTATACTTATTTTCAACTTTTTTAAATTTTTATTTGATTAATATTTAATATTTTTTTAAATTTTTTGTTTATTATAAGATTAACGTTAACGGACTTTTTATATTGATTATTGAAAATTACTATTTAGCATATTGTATTTGTTTAAAATCCTTAACACTAAAAATAATACCGACTAGACCATATTCTGGGCGACTTATAATATAATAAGTATATTAACTCAAGCTATTAGGTTTTAGTCTTATAGCCTTATAGGTATCAAGGACTTATATGTTGGTGTGGAATTAGGTGTGCAGTAGCAAAATAACTTAAGAGGACGCTATACCCGCATGTGTTGTCTCCGTCTTACAAATGTACAACATATCAAAAACTATTTTGCGCGGGAAAGAACCGAGAAGGCTACAGTCATAAACTCATAACTAAGAAACGAAATTTTCACCACATAAAAAGGAGAACTATGGCTGTGCAACGTTGTTTTTATTTTTTTGATATCACTTATATGAAAAAAGTTCTTACTGTTTAAAAAACCGTTATTGTTTGTGTTTTTCAAACTTGAAAAACTTTTTTCATATAAATGATATCAAAAAAATAAAAACAACGTTGCACAGCCAAAGTTCTTCTTTTTATGTGGTGAAAATATCGTTTCTTAGTTATGATTGTAGCCTTCTCGGTTCTTTCCCGCGCAAAACAGTTTTTTGCTATGTTGTGCATTTGTAAGACGGAGACAACGCATGCGGGTATAGCGTCCTCTTAAATTTAGGCCCTGCCTTTAGGAGAACAATATTTAAAACGACGGGAGCGTTGTTTGTTGAGCGGTTCTTAACGGCCGGCAAGCCACTGAACTAAATGCCTTACCTATTTAGTTCAGTGTCGGGAGCATGAAGAAATCAGAAATACCCCGCCGGGACCCTAACCTAACGTGGCCCGGAGAACGTAGGGAGACCGTAGGCGAACTTAGATCATATTCATAATATACAGTAGGTAGTTAGTGGATGGAGCCACAGTTTAATATTTTGAATTTTGACGTACATCACCACAACACGAATGATAACAAATGTTTACACGCACTTTTCTTAAGTTCGCTTTCACGTCTGTTTGTCTGTAATCAAATCTTGCGCGCTCGATTTGAGGCACTTTTTGAGGATGAAAAATTCTGAAAATTGGTATGGACCTTGGTCTTGGATGACAATACCATAATCCGTTGTCATTTTGGGACCCGGACCTCCAGGTCGGCGATGACGAGTGTGCAAAGTCATCTCCGAGGAAGTACTGGTACGAAGGGTTTCTCTGGGTCAAGGCGGGTTAACCTAACCATTACTCTCCGTACTTCAGTAAATTAGCCGTACAGCATATAACAGAATAATGTTGTTGAATTAAAAAAAAATTTTTCATATAAAAAAATTTCAATTTGTTGTGTGAAACAAATAAAAGTCTTGTCATTTCACGACCCAATGAACTTTTTTATTTATTAATAAATTATAATCATCAGTAGTTTGATTCTTTTTATTAAATATAAGAAATTTGTTTCATAAATATTTTTTAAACGTTTAATAAAAAAGTTACTTTTAACTAAAAAGGTTTTTTTTTTAAACACACTTTTATAAAAATAATGAAAAATTTACTGATAAAAAATTTAAAAGTGTGTGGTGCTCTTACACTTGACATACACTCCCAGTCACTATCTTATAAACAGGATTGAACAAAGAAGTGTATGTGAGACTCAGCTCGGCTTTAAATGTTTTGTATGATGCACCACACACTTTTAAATTTTTCATCAACTGTAGTAAGCAAGTTACTACGTAACAATTAAACCAATTGCACAGGTGAATATTTAACATAATATAGTGTAGATCGGCATAAATCGGTTATTTCCTCCTGTGTTTGACATAAGGGAACAAGCTCACTGAATAATATTATAATGACTCGGGCGAAAGGAAGTTGATAGAATAATTATTAATGATTAATGAAAGGTTAATTTGTTGTGTTTAAAAGTAAATGGTTAAAGCGCGTAAGTCAGAATATTAAATCATTTAGAGAAACAACTAGGTAATAAGAAAAATAAGGGATAGGAAGTCGAATATTATTAAAGGGATTTACCGGAGATCGTTTTAATAATATTCGAGCGTAATACAAGCGCGTACCCATGAAACATCGCGGAACATGGCGAGCGGAACGGGTGAGGGGATAAACCGTATGGAAATTTAACACGCGTAGCATAGGCGATTGAACGTTTTACGTGTTATTAGATAGGTACCTACTCATCCATTTTCGACGTACAACGCGCGTTTACGCAATTTATTTTATGAATAATTTATGTGCATGTTGTTTATTTTTTAAGTAATAGTATATACGTATTGGTAATTTTGTGGAAAATAATATATACGTATTATTCATTTTGGTGATGGTAGATACGTGTTGATCGTTTATAAATAATAATAGTATTATAGTATATACTTGTAGAATAAATACTATTGGTAATTACATACGCGGATAGAATATTAATGGAGTAAGTAAATTAATAAAATACGATTATAGTATAATTATTATATTGAATAAAATCAATTAATGCTGGTCTAGATTATGTAATAGGACTTAAATAAAATAGTTTATTGATAGTCTGGACCTGTAATAAAAAGATATAATCAAATAACAGTAATAGGAATAGTAAGAAAAATAAGGGATAGAAAGTCGAACATTATTAAAGGGATTTACCGGAGATTGTTTTAATAATATTCGAGCTTAGGTAATACAAGCGCGTACGCATGAAACATCGCGGAACAGGGCGAGCGGAACGGGTGAGGGGATAAACCGTATCGAAATTTAACACGCGTAGCATAGGCGATTGAACGTTTTACGTGTTATTAGATAGGTACTCATCCATTTTCGACGTACAACGCGCGTTTACGCAATTTATTTTATGAATAATTATATTATGTGCATGTTGTTTATTTTATAAGTAATTACTAACCTGACCTAACTTCTGGTCGATGGAGGGAATTAAATTTTACAGAAGTCCGATTTCCGAAGATTCGTGAATGCTGCTCCACGCCAACACGGGAGTTTTATTGTCTCCGGTGTTATATAGCAAAAATGTACTCTCTGCGCAATACATTGTGTGCACGATAAGTAGGTAAGTCGAAATAATGCTTCGCTTTTCATCTTTTCTGGTGGAAAAGTGAATCTAGTTGGTGCTTTGGGGAGGTCGAAATGCCCAGTACCTAGTCACCAAAAGCGCCGGGAAAAACAAAAAGAAAAATTAAGGAAAACCCGAATCATTATGTAAAATCGATTTCGGTTTTTCGTGTAAGTATGGTAGTATAGTCTAAAATAAGTTGCTTGTACCTAGATACATGTAAATTTCGTTGATTGTTTATAAAAGTATTTAAAACCATAACATTTTTATTCATGTTGACCTGTTCCATATGAAATTTACGATTATTTTAGTTTTTTCTTAATTCATGTCGATAAAAATGTTTTCGCTCGGTCCAATAACTTGAAATGTAATACGCCTTCATTCTTCAACATTCCTCGTAAAGTGTTGTTGGTGGGAATTAAAAAAAAGTCTACCATAAATCCACAATAGTTTTTTATGAGCGTCTGAAGTTATAATTTTGACAAATTTCGTAAAAATCACTAAAATTTAAAATCTATTTGAGATAAAAATTCATGCAAATGTATACCTACCTACCTACCTATATTTATTCGAAAATAGTATATATATACATATACGATTCCAGAGGTTCTACTCTTGGCCAATACAAACGATTTCAGAGTTGTAACTACTGTCATGGACTACTAGGAATCGTTTTTTTAATTTCTTATTAATTAAAATTAATTTCTTTTATTATTATGGCATAATAAACATATTAATATTTAAAATTAAACTACTGGAATAATTGCAAAAAAGCAAAAAAAAAATAGATTTATTTAGGAACAGAATGACATGAAACTAATTTACATATAAAAATATATTTGTTTATCTCTTACAGCAAAAAATAAGTATATGGTATGAGAAAACAATTAAATCCCAAATAGTTATTTGTTCAAAAATGTCTAAAAAAAATAAAAAACACAGAAATATGAAATTATAATAAAAAAAAAATGATTTATATTTATATTCCAAGATCATTACATTTTTTACTATAGGTTTTACTTTTTTTAATTTCATTAATTTTATTTATATACTATTTTATCCAAATTTTATAATATTGTCCCAATTATGTCTGAATTTCTATACCGTGTCATATAGGCAACCCGACAGACCACTTCACTATAAAAAAATTGAAATAAACATATTAATATCATAAGGTTTAGTTTGAAGTCCATAGACATGTAAAACAAAATGTTTTATATGGTGGCTACAGTTATATCTTATCTTATATTATAATTTATTTTTCTTAGTAAGAATTTCTTATTAAGTATGTACAAATAATTGCTGCAAATATAACAATAAATTACAACACATTAATCATATGTTTTTAAATTTTAAATTACAATTGAT